TACTTATGACCATGTGATATTTCAGTTTTTCTTTTTTAATAAATCTGCAAAAATGTCAAAAATTCTGTGTTTTTCTGTCAATATGGGGTGCTGTGTGTACATTAATGAGGAAAAAAATGAACTTAAATGATTTTAGCATATGGCTGCAATATAACAAAGAGTGGAAAATTTAAGGGGGTCTGAATACTTTCCGTACCCACTGTATATAAACATAGTAGGGCAGAGATGGCGGAGGAGACCAGGACGAACAGATAAACAGACAAACTGGCGGCAGGAATCAGGGGAGCAGGAGGAGGAAAACGGACAGGCAAAAAGACAGGCTAACCAAGGGGGACAGACGAACAAAACGGATTTCCACAGCACAGGAAATGTCAGCTGGGATAAAACAAGTAACGTTTGGCTAACCTCATGAACAAAAAAAACACACAAGGTGGTCCACAGCACAGGAACTGTCAGCGTGGACCGTATAGTGCAAAAAGATATAACCTACGTATATCGTGAGATCCACAGCACAGGGACTGTCAGCGTGGAAAACACAAAACGTCTGATACATACCACGCCTATAGGGCTGTTACGGGGTATGCACGTTACAGTAGTTAAGTCACGTACTTTGGGTAAGTAACGCTCCGGCGACGGTGGAGCGTCTGCCAGAGGTATAAATAAGGAGGGAGTCAATCAGCTAACATGCCTCAGCTGTGCGCAACAACCCACGAGTCACTAATTACTTAAAGCAAAACAGCTGAGGCGCAGATCCCCCAAAAATAGTAGGAGAGAAAAAAGAAAAAGAGAGGCAGGTCGTGCAAACAGAGGCAGCTCGAGAGAACAGAGGAGAGAAAGGCGGAAGAGAGGCAGGTCGCGCTGAGAGGACCTGACAGCATCAATGTGGGCTAGGTGTCTGTGGTTCAATATGGAGAACTTAAAAGGCAAAATAGCAAGTAGTGAATACAAAATTGGAGATAATACTACACCCCCAGGACTAAATTTAGACCCTGGATGCTCTGGCAAAAATGCAGATAGAGAAACTATGTTCCAAAAAGATTCCTGCTCCCCAGGGCAAGTCCCTCTGGTGGAAATGCAGCTTAACTAATTAACTTGGCTCGAGTTAGGCTTTTGCTTCCACTGGCCCCCAATGCTTGCATTGGAGAAGAGTTCGTATAATTCACCTCTAAGGGGAGATGCTCAGAGGCCTGTCACCTGTGACTGGTAAGATGCAAGCTTAAAAAAAGCATTATCACATTTCAAGTATTAGCGTAACAAGCACAGTGAGTAAACATACTTTCATACTAGTAAAGGTAAAATGGGGACTTCACCAAGTTGACCATGGGCAACGAGGCAAAGAAATCACATATCTGCAAGTTAGTGTTCTGCTTGCTTGATAAACTCCTTATACAGTCTCTGTTACTGGCAGATTTTGTTGAATGCATGATAAATAAGCATTGTGGTTCTTGACTTGATGGTTTCTGCTCAGCTGTGCAGAGAGGAGCCCAGCCCTGCCCTTATGTAATAACACAGTGAAAGCCTTCACTAAATGAGGCAGAGAGAAAGTGTCAATTGACACATTTGATAGAATGAAATTCTATCTGTTGTGTGATGCGTGCAAAAAGGTGGATGAAACAATTTTACCTCACTGTCCCAGGTACATCTGTAGAAAATAAGAGTTGTTTCACAACAGGGTATATTGTTACTACAAGCAGACCCTGTCTTGCACCCGAGAATGTGAACAAATTCAGCATCTTGCAGATCAAAACAGAATGAATAGTGTACAGTGCGCATTTGGTTGATGCTGCACTTTATGTTGACAACAAAGATGTGTTTATGTCCCTTATGATCTTAACCAGAATTTTAAGACAAACGTTTAACTTTTTCTGCCAAATAAATAAAAAGTACTGTATATGGAAATTGGCAATGCCCTCCCCTTGCTTTACCAAAAACACACCAAACTAAACTGAAAACCGTGACCCCAAAACCGTGATATGAACCGAACCATGAAATTTTGTGAAACATTTCACCGCTGCTAGATAATATATCCAGCATTATCCAGAGTTCACAGAATCATTGGTACATACTACACAACTCATTTTAATTTCTTAACCAGCAGTGTAATATTTTGGATTTCACTCTTACAACCTAAATTCCATGTAGCCTCATCTGGGGCGCTTAATACCAGGCAGGATCAAGGTCAAGAACACATTTTTTTCAAGACTGAATTAAAGGCAAAATGCTGATATTTTTAACACAGATATGATCAAGGTTTAAGTCTTACCACTTTGGTATATGCTTTCAAAATCCATCATATAATATTTCAAAGCTTAATCCCGTGCCTCACATGAAGGCATACTAACTTCACATACTAACTACAAGTACTAACTTCTTTATGTAACCAAATCTTCTGAAGGTTTTCAAATGCCCTTGGAGATTTATTTTTACAGCGCCTTGATAGCATGATCAATCTGACATCTAGACATGATAAGGTTGGTTTCTATCAACTCTGACCTCCAGTTTTCCACCCTCCACAGCATCTCAGGAGGTAATAAAAATTCGTACATTTTCTACTTTAACAATAATGATCTTCATTTGTGATATCACCTGGAGTAATTATACCTGATATGCAGTAATGTATCTACCAGGGAAGAAAAACCTCTACACTCCAATACAATGTCATTAGACAGCAAAGATAATGACTATGATTAGGCAAACTAGAAGTTTAACTTGACTGCATTCTAACACAACAGACAACCCACTAATCCTCATCCCTTTTCATGGTCTCTCACCACCATCTCCAAAGCACACATATTCTTTAAATTATTCAGAGGATACTTACTGGTTTACTGAATGAATGGCTTTAATTGAACTGAAGATGCTTTCTCTAATGTCCTCCCTTAAGGTCCCTTTGTTCTTCAAGATATCCACAAAGTACTGTGAAAAAAGAGAGAAGAAAGACATAATTGTTTGCGTTTGTATTAACAAGCTACACCTGGGCTGTCTGGTCGTTTTCACACATGAACTCTGGATTATGTCCGCGAAATCTGGTCTTTGTCAAGAGTTGCCCTTTCACAAATGAACAACACAACAGGAGATAACCCTTATCAAACATGTTCTCACCTACTGGAAATACTTCGTTTAGTTTCTGCAAGGGGGGCACGTACAACACGACGTCACACCCAGTTTGTAATTTGGTCATAAACAACAACGTTTCTTGCCTTATCTGACAATTCTGGTACAACCCTATTAATGACAGAAGTTGCTGAATCTCATTGTGTCTCCAATTAGATATTTTCGTTGGTGCCTTCATTGTAAATGGCCACTTTTCTTCACTAACAAATGGTTGTATTCTTCAAGTTTTGCACTAGTTGTATGACAGAATGTAATCAATGTGCCCACTAGATTCATGTGAATACTCTGGCCTATATCTTGCTGTATTCTCACATGGGCTCACTCGGACCTTATGCAGACTTTGCACTATGGAGCTAGCAAAATAAAGTCAGCTGACTTTACTCCAAGTAATCTTACTCGGACATTTGCCTTCTCAAAAACAACAAGAAACGAGACATGGAGAGATGCACTGATCGATCAAGCTGGAGATCGGAATGGGCCAGTTTGTATTAGTAAGCTACTCAATGTAGAAAAATGTTATACTATACAGTATATTATATTATTACATTAAAAGCCTGTCACTCATGCACTGATGTAAAAGTAGAATTTGGCTGTTGCAGTTGGTTGAGGTGGAGCTCTGCTGAGCTAGTTTGTATCAAAGTGCAACTACTTATAATTTTCATTACAGATTAACCTACTGAATATTTTCTCTATTAATTGATTGAGATATATATATACAGTGGCAGGGTAATAACATGAGGGCAGACCCACCAAGGCTGGAGACTGAACAGTTCTGGAAGAGTATATGGGAGAAGGAGGCATCACATAATAACAATGGACCTGAGAGCAGAGCACAGCAACCTCCCTGCACAAGACCCAGTAATCATCACAATGGCAGACATTCAAGAGAGGGCCTCAAGTATGAAGAGCTGGACAGCACCAGGCCCTGACATGATCCACGCCTACTGGTTAAAGAAGCTAACTTCACTCCATGAGTGCCTGGCGGGACAAATGAACTAGCTACTAATGGATGGATCCCACCCTGAGTGGTTAACTGAAGGCCGGACAGTCCTGATCCTGAAGGACCCTCAGAAGGGAGCAGTACCATCCAACAACCCCCCCAATAACCTGCCTCTGCACAACATGGAAACTGCTGTCAGGCATCATAGCAGCTAAGATGAGCAGGCACATGGCTCAATACATGAGCAGGGTTCAGAAAGGAATCGGTAGTAACCAAGGAGGAGCAAAACACCAGCTACTGGTTGATAAAGTAGCCACTCGAGTCTGCAAGACTAGACATACCAACCTGTGCACTGCCTGTATTGGGGTAAAATGGAGACTTCAGCATTGGACCGCGGGCAAAGCGGGGAAGATACATGGATGACATCAAGCTGTATGCCAGGAGTGAACGAGACATCGACTCACTGATCCACACCAAGGAATGTCATTCGGACTGGATAAGTGTGGTCGAATGGTAACAAGGAGAGGAAAGGTAGTCAGAACTGAGAGGATTGTACTATCAGAAGGCAACATAGCAGATGCTGAGGACAGCTACAAGTACCTTGGGATCCCACAGGCAAATGGGAACCATGAAAAGGCCGCAAGGAAAGCAGCAACTACCAAGTACCTGCAGAGAGTAAGGCAAGTCCTGAGAAGTCCGCTGAATGGAAAAAACACAGTCTGGGCAATTAACACATACGTACGCTCTGCTGGTCATCAGGTACCCTGCTGGCATAAGCTGGCCAAAGGAGGAGACAGAGGCCACTGACATCAAGACAAGAAAGCTCCGTACAATGCATGGTGGGTTTCCCCCCAAATCCAGCATCCTGAGACTGTACACTAAGCGGAAGGAAGAAGGCCAAAGATTAGTGAGTGTCAGAGCCACTATCCAGGATTAAACAACAAAGGTCCATGAATACATCAGGAAGATGGCCCCAAGTGATGACATGCTTAGTGAATACCTCAGGCAGCAGAAACCAGAAGAACAAGGGAAGGAAGAGCAGGAACCCTCATGGAAGGACAAACCCCTGCACAGTATGTACCACCGTCAGATAGA